TGTCACATGTATGTTATTAAAGTTTAAAATTATCTGTCTCATTTATGTTTGCAAAGCTCAATAGACTACGTATAATTTTTGTATATTTGCTTTCGCAGCCTCTAATTATATGTTATTTTGTTCATAGGCCTTTGGTAATTCAAGGATTATTGGCCGGTTACAACACTAAACTTATAGGGGCAGGTTTGGGTTGTGACATTTAGTCTGCCTCAGTTTAGCTTTTATGCTCGTTAACTCAGTAGCTACTTTCATCTGGCCCACTGCTGCTCGCACAGCCATGAACCCTTGCACCACTGCCAATACTTCTATCTTTTTGGCTTGCTTTGCATGTATCAAGCCTTTGGCACAAGCACTTCATGCCATTTTGCCGCCACCACTCACTTTCTGCCCTTGCTATCTCTAATTGCGCCTTAAGGGGCTCTAAATCCATCATTGCACTCACTCCCTTGCCCAGCAAAACAGCCACCAATGTCAGGGACTCCATCTGTGATGAGCAGGAGGCTCTCATCAACTCAGCCTCCCCAAACCTAGAGATGTCCCTCACGGCGACATCTTCGGCGCTCTGTCTGCACTCACGCTGTCAGAGCCATATTTACAAACTCTCCCCCTTTAGCAAGTGATCGACCAACCACTGCACTCAAGTGGTGAACGGCGGTGCCCTTGGTCCCCATGATTGGGCTTACTCCAGCATTACCTTCTTACGTTAGAAATGGGCACCTCCTTTTCACTTTATGCCTTGACAACCCTTCTCTTTCTGCTGAAGGGGCGCCCACTATTAGCTCAGTTTTACCTACACCTACTTCCTACCCTGGAAGGCGATCAACAATTTGCTCCACATTCTCTTCAACTTCCCCCCAAGTCTACTATTTCCGCTGCTAGCGGGTCTGCCTCACCTCCTTCAGTTGTCATCCCAAGCCTTGTCACTCTCATCTCCTCCACTGCTGATTCTACCTCCCCTTTACTCCTTTTTGACTTCCTCCCCTCCTTACGCTTCCTTGGCATCCTCATTTTCTTTAAGGCTCGGTCCACCTTTGCCTTGCTCATCTCCTTAATAGGATCCACAAGTGCTTTTAGCGGCACGAATGTTTCCCAATCTCGCTCTTCCAAGCCTTTGGGATGCTGGATGAACATCTTCGCAACCGACTTAAGAGCGAGGCCTAACTCTTTCTCCTTGTACTTCTCCACAGTCACCAACACCCATTGGTCTTCCGCCTATTGGGTTTTTCTCATGGCCTCTACTTTTTCAAGAACAGGATCTCCCTCGGCAGACTCAGGTCCTAATTTCAAGGCAAACAAGGCCGACAGCTTGATCAAGGCATCCCATCTGACCCCTTCTTTGTCTCTCCATTCCTTCACATGCCTCACTCTCCTATCTGCCGCTACGTTCAACTTCGGCTCCAATGACTTGGTAGAGGTCTCCCACATCGTCCAGACTCCCTCTCTACCATTCGCAAATACCATTTTGTTCGCCAACCCTTAACGGATGAAGGCAGCCCTGCCACCAACCTTTTTCCTGCCACTGTTTGCAAGGTCACCCATGTCTCTTGTTGACCCGACGCTTTATAGCACGAGAAAAACTAGTCCATTGACATCATTTCCCCATCGGTCGCCCGTGGCCACGAGATCGCACACACGAACAGGATCTTCCAGGCGTTCGTTATCAATTAGCCTAGAGCTACCTCCAATCGGTTCAACACGTCGATGGCTAGTTGTGGGAGCGGCAACCTCAAACCCCTATAGAGCGCCTCTTTATACAGCGCGAACTCCATCGGTCTTGCGTCCGACGCCCTCTCCATTGCCGTTGAAAGTCTCAACTCCACATCTGTTGGAATATGGTATTTCTTGCGTATTTCCTCCAAATTCTCTGCCTTTAGATTAGACCTGTCTGCCTTAGTATGCCAATGGTCAGGCACCACTTGGCTAATCGGCTAGGCGACTGAAATCATCGTCGGCGGAATAGGTTGGGATGGTCGCTCCGCCTTCATCTCCACCAACCTTTCTACTCTGTACTTTTTAACCAACACCACTCCGTCGTCCTCTCCCAACGCATCAAATGCCATGGCTGGAGCTTTTTCTTGTGCCATATCCTTTACGTTTCTATATATCGCTCTGGTTGCAGGGGTGAGAAAGTTCGTAATGTGAAAGAGTAGAGAATCAAACGAGATAAAAGAACTAAAGTCTGGAATGCGCTGGTTTTTTGCAATAAGGTAAGAAAATCGCACAAGCCCAAATGCCTAGAGTTTGCTTGTGTTCCAAGGATTGCGATTAAATTCTCCAGTTTGAAAATCCAAAAACGAGTTAAATAAAACCCCCGCCTTTTTGACATCTCTTATTACACAAACCCCTTCACTTCCTGCAAACAGTACGAAATCCTTAATCAGGGGCCTAGATAGCCCCACATGTAAAGCCACGATTCCTCCTCTATCTCCCTAATTCTCTTTCCTCTCCCCTGTCTATTCCACTTTACATCATCACGTGCATTTCTGCACCTTGAGCCCCGTGCACCATCAAAGCCATCAAGTCTTTTTTGACAGTCGGCTCCCTCAATGGTCAGCCACTTTGACGGTCGACCATCTTAATGGTCGACCACCATTACGGTCAGCCCCTTTAATGACCGACCACCATTACAGTCGGCCACCAACATAGTCGACCCTCCTAATGGTTGGCCACCTCGACGGCCGGTCATCCCGATGGTCGGCCATCCCAACGGTTGCCCACCTTCGCGCTTGGCTCTCTTGCTGAGCAGTTACCAAGACGATCGTCCATCCTCATCCCTCCTCACCTACCCCTCCTCTTACTTGCTTGATTTTATCTTTAACGACTTGAGGGATTGCCGTCAACTTTCTTATTCCCTTCATTGGACTAAAACTGCGCTCAAGAATGGGGGACTACTAATGGGAATGGCTCACAGGCCTAGGACAACCCAACCCACAACTGTCTTGGACGGCCCAAACAGGCATTTAATTACGATCTAGTAGGTGAAACCTAACAGCAGGCCCATCGAGGAACCTACGTTGGCCCAGACCCTGTGACACTTTAACACTTATTAGGTAGGGAGTTAGCCACGTGGCAGACAAAGATCCTACAGAGTTATTGAGCCCAAGCATCAAGCATTAAACGAGACTGTCATGGCATTAAATGCAACAAGACTTCTCGCTCCTGAGTATGGTAAAACTGCCATAGCCAATGACGAGTAGACCCTAGACTTTCGGCTAATAAAACAGCTTGAATGGACAAGAAAATGATAAAGAAAAGATATAAGGAAGCTCGCGAAGAATGTTAACAACAAGAAGTAATACTCTTTCTCTCTTTCTAACTACTCTCTCTATCACTTCCAATCTAACTTGATCGTTGATGTGTCCGTGGGGAGAAACCTCTCTAGTCTTGGAGCCTCCCCATCGAACCTTTTGCAAGCGCGCATTAAGAAGACGAAGGCTAGCAGACCTGTAAAATGCGTGAATCAGTCCGACCCATTCTCTATTGACCAAACTACATTATCCAAATTAATGGTAAATTTTATAAATTTTAATTATTAATATCATATATTTTTTCATAAATACTCAATTATTTTTTTAGAGTACAACTAATTTGTAATTTTTCCTTGATTTTTTGGATTAATAATTTTTTTGACATGAATAAAATCAACGGTTTCACATTATTATTACTAAGGTCATTTCTAACATTGTATCAAATCTTTCATCAAATTTAAATTTGATGAAAATGATGTTTCAACTGTTTATCAAACTGATATTAAATGAAGGGAGCGGTATATTTTTTATCAAATTAAGAAGCGTTTAACCTTTTATCAAATTTCACACAACCAGATTTTGGAATGAATTTGATAAAAATTTACTATTTTATCAAATATTGATAGAACAATCGACAAAATTGATGAAAATTATTAAAGTGCATCATATCAGATGATACTTTTTATCAAATTTTTATTCAAATTTAATGAAAAATTTGATAAAGCAGTGGCAATACTCTAATGCTAGTAATAAAATTTGAGTGTCCCAACGACGCCGTTCTGGTCGGCGTGAGTCCCAGCCACTCTTTTCCCTCTTCTCGTGGCCTTTTTGGGTTTTTTTGTCTCTCCCGCGTTGCCATAGGTTGATCAAAGAATTTACATTATGTTTCGAAACTTATGAGAGAAAAGAAAAGAAATGATTATTTAAGTTATAAGAGAAAAAAAAAAAAAAGGATTGAATTGTGATTTTCCTTCTTCTTATTTGAATAAATAAGAAATAAAAAAAATAAAATGATTGTGATTTATCTCCTTCTTGTTTGGTTAGATTTCATAAGAAAAAAAAAAAGAAACTGTTTCATGTTATATTATTAAAATAACTTTTTTTATATTTTGTCAATCATTTTATTTCTTTTATTTTTACTGAGACAAAATTAGTATTATAAAAATATAATGGGTGTTTGGGAAGTGAGTTTTTATGTAGGTTTTTTTAGTTGTAGGATATTATTAGATAAAATTTTTTTAGTATTTGGAAAAATAGTTAGGTTTTTTTGTGATCGGATGTGATGTTTGTGAGAGAAAAAGTGAAATGATTATGAGATTGAATGTGATATTTTGTTTAGATTTGTTTTTTTTTATTTTGAAAAACCTTTGTCTTTTAGTGAAAAAAATCAAAAAAAAAATCTGAGAACCAAGTTCGCAAACACCACCATAAGAATCTATTAATTTTTTTTCTCTTCCAATCCCTTTATTTTTTAAAAAATTAAAAATAAAAATTATAAAAAAAATGAGTTTCCCTAGACTTCCCTCAATTTCTCCCCAACAATGATTCATCCCACTAAAAACATCACCACTAATAGCATTAATGCATTAAAAAAATAAAAAAAATAAAAAAAAATTATAACTCCAAAACCAAAACATCACATCATTTATGGCGGGACCCACTGCCACCTAATTAGTGGGAGCACTAATTAGTGCTACCAAGCATTTTTCATTTCTCCCCCCACTTAAATTACTCTCGAGTTAAATTAGTCAGACAAATAAGAAAAATACACATGTCACTCAATTTTTTTTTTTTTTCTTCCTCCAAATCAATCAATCCAAGCATAGCGGTAAGGATATCAGAATCTCAGGCGAAAACCAAGGTTAGGTTAATAGTTGTTTCAGAGGTATATGCAGAGGGCCTGAGAGACAACAACGAACGAAGATCAGAAACCACACATGTAATAACAACTATATTATCATGAATCAATGAAGATAGTGACTTACAACATTAACGGCCTCAGGCCTCGGGTCTCACAGTTCGGCTCTCTCCTTAAATTACTTGACTCTCTCGATGCCGATATCATCTGTTTTCAGGTCCCTTCATTCTCTCTCTCTCTCTCTCTCTCTCTCTCTCTATCTATATGTGTATGTTGTTTGTGGCTTTGAATCTGTATTGATAATTCGTTTTTTTCTATATTTTATTTTAAAGGAGACGAAGTTATCGAGGAAGGATTTAACGGCGGATTTGATCGTCGCCGAAGGCTACGAGTGCTTCTTTTCCTGCACGCGCACGTCTGATAAAGGACGCATCTGCTACTCCGGTAAGGTGTTTGTGTAAATGCCTCAATGGCGCTCTGTGTGTGTACGTGTGTGCGCGCGCGCGCGTGAGAAATCAACAGGCTATATAATATATTGTGGTCCTTACTTTTATACTCAAAGTTACCTACGTTATTGCATTTCACTTTGCTGCGGGTGTTTTGGCATTAAGGCTGAGTAATCAATAGAATGAGTGAGATCCCGAATCCGCATTCAATGAAAAATGACGCATTGTGACTGATACTAACCCAGGTTAAGATGGTGTGTGAACAACTATTTGGAGAGTCATTTGTGATTTGTTATTTAGTGGATTCCTTGTCCCCCATTTTTCTTTTGTATTTCTCTTCTTATTCCCTTTTCATAATATTTCTTTGTTGCCAATAAACAAAAATCACTTATTTATTTATTTTCATTTAAGGTTTCTATGGCCAAATGATAAGTATATTCATCTTTAATCTCACACATTGAGTTTTCAATCACTGAACCCTTTTGACATAGCATCTCAGCAACCACCTCAGCAACCACCTCATACCATTGGGCCAATAAGTAATTGGTAAAACTGCTTGGGGTTCATCCAATGCAAGAATATAATTTTTTGCTGTTAGGTTGTTGACACCGGACATTGGTATATGAATGGAAGTTTTTGATTACTGATGTGTTTATTGTAGGGACTAAATTTTGTATGTATAAAAAAAAAAATAATTTTTTAATTTTAACACAGGTGTTGCAACATTTTGTCGAGTAAAGTCGGCATTTTCGAGCAATGAAGTGGCTTTGCCAGTTGCAGCTGAGGAAGGCTTTACTGGGGTGCTGGAACGTTCAAAAGGGTCAAGAAGTGGAGAAGATGAAAGACCTGGAAAAGCAGAGGGCCTTGAGGAATTCACAAAGGAGGAGCTTCTTAAGGTTGACGGTGAGGGGCGATGCGTCATAACAGACCATGGCCATTTTGGTGAGTTTGACATACTGTTCAATGTGTTCATTAATGAAACAAAAGTGGATGAACCTCAAAATAATCATGTTCTTTGCTAGGAATCTCATTTCTGCCCTGAGTTCAGCTTTCATTAGTATTAACTATAGTCTACGATGTGTTATAATTTTGCATATTGTATTCCTTTTCATTTAATTAATTCATCCGAAGGGCATTGTTTGCTTCAAAAATTATTTTCTTCCAAATTTCCATACAGTTTTACATAGGGACTAACATTGGGAGTCTGACAGTGCTTTTCAATATCTATGGGCCTCGAGCAGAAAGTGATGATACAGAGAGGATCCAGTTTAAGCTCACCTTTTTTACGATCTTACAGGTATCCCATTTATGTTCCTTATTTGATTAGATAGTTTGGTGTAAAACATTATTGTGAATTATGAATTTTCCTATACATATATGCATGGAGGACTGAGTTACATTTTGTGCATTGTGTAAACATTTTCTTGTCCAGCTATGCAGCAAATGACAATAGGAAAGGCAGACAATACCTTTACGGTCAATCCTTTTTTTTTTTTTTCAATTTCACACAAGTCACATAATTTATCTTAGAAACACTAAAATCTCAGTTCTTTAGGATAAAAAAAATGTTATTTGGGGATGTTGGTTGTCCACACCTGCACCTTGGGTGGCGCGTTTTCTACCCATTTTTTGATTGGATCATCTCAATTCCTGAGAATATATCTTGGTTAGGTAAGAAGGAAAGTTTCTAAATTTCCAAAAAATTCCATTTAGAATTAAGGTGGAGACAGTGAAAATGTCTGATGGTGGATATCAAGGGTTGCTTGCAGCTCAACTCAACGCTGGATGATTGTGGTTGTACTAGTAATTCTGGAAGTCTAGTTATCATACTTTTTTAGGTTCTTACTTGTCTCTTTTGCAGCATCAAATAAGGAAACTATGTAGAATTATAATATTCACCAAGCATTTTGCTTCATGTTGTTGGGTAACTTTGGTTGATATTAGTAAACTTTGCTGTAGAAAAGATGGGAGTTTCTCCTGCATCAAGGAAGAAGGATATTCGTTGTTGGAGATCTCAACATTGCTCCTGCTGCTATAGATAGCTGTAATCCAAGACCAGACTTTGACAAGAACAAGTGAGCTGCTGACAATTTTCTTAAAGAGTGATTGTTAAATTAGCACATATACTCATGTGTGGAGGGCACATAAGTGATGTTCCTTCTCCCTCTACCTTTGATCTTAAATGTTGTTTTACTTGCCAAAGTCAATTTTAAAGTTTAATGTATTATTGTGAACTGGCTTGTAGGTTCAGGAGATGGTTTAAATCCATACTAGTGGAAAACGGCGGCAATTTCTTTGATGTTTTTAGAGCAAAACATCCTGAGAGGTTATGCATCATGCTTGATTTGTTAGATATGTTAATTGATAAAAAAAGATCATGAGTTCTGTACATTGTGCAGTTTTTAGTTTGATTTGACTGAATTTTGTTTCAATTTTGTTGAATGAAACCTCACATTAATTAATTGTAATGCACATTGTTGTTAATTGGGGATTCCAGTCTTTCTTTGTTTTTCTGTTCTTATTGGTACTTCCATGATATACCAATTATTTTTCCTTTCAACCTAATGATCTTCTCAAATTAATTTGTTCAGTCATATATGCTTTATGCTTTGAGATTTACTATATTTGCCTTAATTTTGCATATCCTTTATTCTACAGGAGAGAAGCATACACTCACTGGTCACAGACCACTGGGGCTGAAGAATTCAATTATGGAGCTAGGATAGACCATATTCTCAGTGCTGGATCATGTTTACATGACGATGATGGCCAGAAAGGTCATAATTTTTTGAATTGCCATGTGAAAGACTGTGACATAATGATGCAGTTTAAACGATGGAGGCCTGGAAGTTCACCTAGGTAAAAGTTAGAGCTCTGTATTTAAATAAAGTAATTCGATATAATGGCAGTACTGAGTGATTGGAATAATATGTTGACCAAATCTCTCTCTCTCTCTCTCTCTCTCTCCATGTGCATTTACCCCTATATATGTTTCCCCCATTGGCATATATTATACTTTTATGCATGTATTTTCTTGTCTTCTGTGTCATCCGGTCTTTGCTGTTCCCCCATGGTATCCATGTTATGACATGGTGAGGGTATGGACATTCGTTCAACACACGGAACCAGATCCTGTTTTGATGGAAGAAGAAGATGAAGCTCAGTATTTAGATGCCATAGAAGAGAAGATTTTTTCACTGATCATGCAGGGAGCGGATTAAAATCCCCTTTTTTTACTGCATCCCATGTAATTTCAATTATATTGCTCAAGAACATTAACACCATATGTTATGTTATTTTACAAAATTTCAAGGTGCATCGAATCCATGCACCATCTCCAACTTTGGCACAATACCAGCACCTAATAAATGTAAATTTATCCCAAATCAACTCTTTCATTGAATTGTTTATTATTGCTATTTTTAGACGGAAGAGGTTTGAGGCATCAAGCCTTATGTGTCGTCAATTGAAAGTAATTAAGATTAGGTACAGTTGACTATAAAGGTTCTACTTAAGTTATATGATTATAAATGTAGCATCTCTCTTGGCATGTGCATAGCTTGCACATCCAAAGCTTGAATCCTCTAAATCTGAGATGCACACACTTTTTACCATGCAAGGGCATCATTCTTATGCTTTTTATTTTGCATGTTCAAACCAAACATATATTGTAGTCAGTCTCAGCCCGTGAATCTGTTTGCACTCTTAACTCAACATTGTGCTTCCTCAGTCATTATTATTAATATTATTGTTTATAATTAACATTTTTTTTGGTTTGTGTGTTAATTGGGGGAAAGAGTTTGGGGGTGATATTACTGTATAGAAGAGGGGACACTTATAGTTTAACCAGACTGAACAAACTATTGATAATTTTCTCCTCTTCTGGGAATTGTTGGAACTGCTTTTCATCCTAGGTCATTTAGGGATTATTGAGTGGATTGAACCTTATGGTTTACGTATTTGATATATATGTGTTTTGTTTGGTGGGTACCTGGTTGTGATGAGTGTGGGCTAAATGCACAAATGACAAACTTGACTGAAGTATTCAGAAGTAAAATTTTGCGGGTTTTCTCCAGTTCTCTCTGTCAAGTGATAATGGTTTTGCATCCATGCTAACAATCAGACACAAAATCCTGTCCTTTTGTACTTGTCTATATGAAAGGAGAGGATGTAATTTCACTTGCTGCTCTGTCCGCAGGTGGAAAGGAGGGAGAAACATCAAATTGGAAGGTTCTGATCATGTTCCTGTATATATGAGTTTGGTGGAAATCCCAGATATTCTGCAGCATAGTACTCCCTCTTTGTCTGCTAGATATGCTCCAGAAGTTCGTGGGTTCCAGCAGACTATTGGTGCGAGAAGATTATTTATCCTTTCTAAAGATAATTTACTTGTCTATAGCATCTGTAGATTCCACACACACACACACACACACACACACACACACACAAAATATGCTGACTTGCATACCAAAATGTCTCCCTTTAGATTTAGCAGTGGCATGTACTTGCACATTATTAAATTGATGGAAGCAAGTATTTGGTTGAAACTTATATCTCACATCTATCTGTTGCTTTTCTGATGGGCTAAAAGGTTTTTGATATTTGACATAATGAATTGATTTTGATGGTAGACAATTCGTTGAATATACAAGTAACCTGCTGTTTTTCCCTTAACGGGAATAAATTTTATAATTTTCTTCCAAATTTGTAAATTTATATCATCATGAATAATGTTGGAGTATCAAAAGTTACACATGACAAGATTATACTGGTGAAAAATTATATAGAAAGATCAGTAGTTAGAATAATTGATAATAAATTTTTAAGTTTGTGGAATAATTCATGTAAGTGAAGAATTAGTTGGCATGAAGTGTTGACTATTTGATTCCAAAAATCAGACAACCTGCTATGGCATGGAGAACTGCACATAGATTTTTCTTATGTGGAGGTAATTTGGGTGATCTGATCTCACTGTCAGAGCACAGTTGCAAAGTTGCCACATGTTACCATTGTTAAAAGATTTATCAAATGATGTTTTGCATTAGTTATGTTTTCTTGCTCATAAATGTGATATGGTGTCTTAGACTAGTGGAAAAAATAAAAAGAAAAAACCAAACCCAAACAAAAACCCATTTCATATTTTTATATTTTTTATTTTTTTACTTTGCAAGTCTTGGATTATAAGGTTGTACTTGGATCATGGATTTGGGTGGAGATTTGGAACAGGTGAGAGAAATGGAAAAAAAAGAAGCTTTTATTTTATTCACATTTCCCTCGTCTTTTCATTTTCCTTTCCAAATTTCATTCAAACATAGCCTAAGAGTGCTAAAAATTATTCCATTATGTTTCCCTTGTGATTGAACTGTCCTACTCGCTCTATTAAGTTTACCAAGCTAATAGCCTTTTGCAGTGTCAGTGTTGATGAAAAGACAAGTACCGGAGCAAGTTAAGACAGATGAAGTGTCAAATTCACTTTCACTGGAAAATATTTCAGTTGGGAGTTGCATTGAGAGTGTGAAAAGATCATCTTATGACTGCAGTGTACCTGGCTCATCCTTACAAGGAAGTTTTCATTCTTCAAGCCTTGAACCTAAAGCTATCATTCAAAGAACAGATGATCTCCCTGGAGGTTCTTCTAATGAGACTGCTCATGCTAAGATGACTGCATTTGGTAGTGGCCCTGTTAACTCAATACCTGGCACAGAAATCAGGAAAAAAGCAAGACAAAGTCAATGGTCACAACTCTCACTGAAATCATTTTTTCAGAAAAGTTCGACATCTGGAGTTGGTAATGATAACAACTCTCCGGATGTCTCAAAGTCTGATCAGTCATTGAATGAAACTTTCATTGGTGATCAGGAAAGCAATAGTCCTGAGCAGTCTCAGTTGAATGATTGTGCAACTACTCAGGATCAAGGTAACCCAAATGCCTGTTGCTCTGCAGAGGCGGAGAAGAGTAATGTTGCTTTACTAGAGTGGCAAAGGATTCGACAACTCATGCAGAGCAGCGTACCCCTTTGCAAAGGCCACCGTGAACCATGTGTTTCTCGGGTTGTGAAGAAAGCAGGCCCTAGTCTTGGCCGCAGATTTTATGTCTGTGCTCGTGCTGAGGTATTTTGTGCCCACATTCAATTTAGTTCAGCAATCTGTTTGTATATCCTCCATGTTACTCATTATATGGTCAAGTTAATTTTGTGAGACTGCCAATTCTTTGGAGAGTTGAGATATTTTTTAGATATTAGTTCGGTGCTGGAATGTGAGCATATCACTCTAGAGGTTCCAGACTCATATGACTTGTAAACTTAAGTGGAAAGAAGTTTTGCTGAAGCCTTTTGGTATATGTTCATTATTTTGTAAGTAAATTTAATCTGATACAGTTGATTAGTCGATATGTTCCATCCATCTTAACTTCTTTGTTGTAGTTTCATGGATACTTTATGATAACACTTGTTTAGCACTGCTTTGTGAGGTGCAAAGAGCCTCCAGAAATTTCCCTCATTTCTATTCAAATTATTATAAAAACAGGAATTTATACTTCCTATTTATTATGCATAATTTGCTTTTCTTTTAGTTTACATGTTTAGCCCATTTTTTAGTTCTAGATCTTTAGACAGGTTGCATTAGTCTTTGCATGTGAACAACGCACCGGGAGATGGCATGGAATTTACAAACTGATCAGAATCGTTTTCTTTGCTGATCTTTTTACAGGGCCCTGCATCTAATCCTGAATCAAATTGCGGCTATTTTAAGTGGGCTGCTTCTAAACCCAAGGGCCAAAGATGACGGAAATTGCTGATAAGTGATTAGCATTTCTAGTCAGAGCTGAGGTTTTTTCCATGTGATGTCAAGCCATCCATTTGCTGCATTTCTGGAGTGTAAATCTCTGCTGTTTTGCAGTCTCGAAGTTCAATGCCTTGTAAAGTATGTAGCTTTCCTTTGAAGCTTAATCCCTATCAGTTTCTTCAACAAATGTTTCCTGCTTTTTGTTTGCTCTCCAGCAGTGGTTGCATTGCATCAGTAGAGAAAGTTGGGCATTAGCCAGCAACATCATCGTTGTTTCAGGATCATGAATGTTGCTATGCTTCTTTAGTATTTTTTTTTTTTGGCCAAGCAATGTAATTTATGTTTCCCTTCACCTTAAAATCAGCTTGTCATGTCCCTTGAGTCTTACTGATTAAGAAAATGTGATCAACTTTTTTAATATGGTTCAATCTAGTGCCATATTGTTAGCCATGTTTCCCATAAACACTGCATTCAGGCACCAACCTCGGGTTACCGAATTGTGAGCTCGTGAGAGCATGTTCTGAATTTATTTTAATCATCAAAACCCTATAATATGAACGGTTTTGATCAGTAAAATATGGTTGGAACAAATCTCATGGGGTGTGACAGCACGGGTGTTATCACAGCACCCACCCCGAATCCACTATTAACCTAAATATGAGAGTTGTATGCAGTTTGGTTTGGGTTAGGGAAAAATTTAACATTGAATTGAACTTTTAATTTTGTCAGTTGAGGAATCTAAACCGAGTGCATACTACAGTTCAATTTTATTAGTTTTTATAGTTTAATGTAAATGAGAGATTTTCAAGAGGTTTCAAGGGTCCTGTAAAATTCTATAGAATTTCACATCTTGAATAAATGAAGATAGGTTGTGAAAATGTTTTGTAAATGTCTCTTTTCCTAATTTTTATGACAAAAATATACCGTGTCATTTTTTTATATACTAAAAAATTTAGTATATAAAAAGGGGGGTAAATTACATTTTGACCCTTTTATGTTTAGCCATTTTCTTACTTTGGCTCTTGATTTTTTTCTTTCTTCTTCTTCACATTTTGATCTTTCATGTGTCAAAATTTTATAATTTACTTCTAAACCTAACTTTTGTTTAAAATTAGAGAAACAATGATTTATATTTCTATGCAATGAAAACACCCTATGACCATGCAAAATTATTCATCTACTATCTACAATTAATGTAGATGTAGATTCTATATAATAGAAAAAGGAAAAATAAATAAATAAAACATTTTTACTTTCATATGTCAAATTTAAATGGTAGGGAAAAATATGTTGCCAAGGATAATGAGAATTTGATTGGAGTATTTAAATTGGTCAAATATTATTATTTTAGGTTGTACTACCTAAGAAATCACATCTTATACTATTAGGCTTGCTTTGATTATTTCCCTCATTTATCCGATTGTAAAAAAATAATTATTTATTTTTATCTCAATCAAACATAATATAATAATAGTTACTTATTTTATCTAATTTTATTTTATGATATAACTTCCCTCTTATGACCCTTTAATCATATCATATCATATATATATTATCAAAAGCAATATTTTTCTTATACCTGAGTGACATGACATATTATAAGAGGTTTTTTTTTTTTTTTTTAAGAGAGTCACATATTTTTTTAATTACATATAGAGTTTTACATAAATTCAAACCTAATTTAAATTATATCAACTATACCTAATTGACAAATATTTTTTTCCATATATTTTTCACGGTAAATTGAGATAATCCACAAACCTAATATCAATTTTGCGTTTCATGTTTTTTTTCTTAATTTTTTCAAGAGTATTAGGATTTTTGTTAATGCTAAATTACCTCTTTTTATTTATTTATTTATTATTTTCTCATGCATTATTCTATATCCAATACCAATTCTATATTATGGATCTGTCGTTTAAATTTTATAGTGATTCTATATATGAAATTATATTTTATTTCCTACATTATTATATATAATCACAACTAACAAGAGGAAAAACCTGCACAATAATTATACTGTTGAGGAACTTTTAAAATTTAGATTTACTATTTGAATTATTTTTTCAATTATTAAATAGTAATTTTTTATGTTTTAATATCATATCATATTACAGATAATTAATCACTTCACACACTGAGATGTATCTATTGTTTTCACACACTGAAATGTATCTATCATTTGGATATTTTTATTTTTATTTTTTTTTGGATTTAGATGTTGTTATGCGATTTTTTTTTAGTTAGTGGTTGTTGAATTTTTTTTATATAGTTGATATTTTCATTTAATTAAAAGTGTTTATTTTACAATCGTATAATGTAATATATATATGTATATATACATACATATAAAATCACTATATGATAATCCAACTACAACATACATATATTTAAGTTTTTTTAATAAATTTTATATAATTTCTTTTTCTACATATTTTTATTTTCCAAATGAATATAAAAATAATTAAATAATTAGAATTAAATTTAATTTTATATTACTAGACAACAAAAAAGGGATTAGTACACATCATGGTCAACATACAAAAAGGTTTTCTTCTACCAAATCTAGAGTGGTGGGTCAAATGGGCCGAAAAACCATGGGAAATAATGTTGCATAAAAAGCTCAAATTCCCATCCCAACTGGACTACACCAAAACAGATCCACACTGTCTAGACTGTGAAAATGGGGACAGACTGTATGTATCCCAAAAATGCTCGATAAACAATCCAGTCGGGTGTCTCAACATATGACAAGTCATTATTGAAGTCAACATTTTGAATATTAATTATCTCCAACGGGTTAGGGATTGTGGTGAAAATATAGTCCTCAGGGTACACGTTCCCCCTTCTGGCCACAAAATCTGGGGATAGAGGGCCTATGATATAGTGCGGGTGGTCATGTCCCGGGGCAACGCCAAGGACACGAGTGGGTCCAAGAAAACGTCCGCGTGTATTGGTACGGCTTTGCCTCCATAGTAAATATGGGACATCAGTAGGATCAACTTGTATATAAATTGGCCGACCCATTAATTGGACAAGGCCTGGATGCAATCCTTTGATTATGTCCTCTGAATCTCCTCAACCCTCAGGTGAGGCGGGGACGGGGTGCTCGGCTAAAATATCATCTAAATTAATGGCCCCAAAACGCATCATCAAGGTTAATCTTTGACGTTCCTACATCACCAGAATAAACGTGAGATTTTACACAAAGGGACTAATGTTGCAGGTAATTATTTATTATTTTTTTATTTTATTTTTTATTTTTTTGTTTTAAATAAAAGATAAAAAGTTGAGGTTCAAAGAAAAGTTGGGCAGTGGAAAAAAGTGATGATGGTTTTGAGTGGAGAATATTTTAAAAGATATTTCTCTCTTTTTTGTGTATGATGATGTCTGCTCCTCTGCCGACATCACAAACCCTCTTCAGCTCCTTGTTTTCTGTCTTTAGCACACTTATCTCTGCTCGCGCATCCTTATACATGCGTTGGAGCAGAGCCAGCTGGGAGTTTAACTGTTGCACCTCATTTGTCCTGCTCTGATACCATGTAAGAAATAAATTGATAGATAGAGAATAAATTGTATGTCTTATTGATTGATTTGTTGATCTATTTATTACAATGATTCATTGGTTTTGCTCCGTTGAACTTTCCGATGCGGTCGGTGGAGCAAAAAATGGCGGTGCAAACTGATATTGAGGCCAATCAGTATACTCTGAAGTCATGTGTGGAAACCATGACTGCGGTCACAAACTTGTCGCACCGGCTGCAGAGGTGTTTGGTTGAGGTTCACTGGCCACCGCACCAGTTATTTCTCTTGTGGACTCGTTCAGTTCTGGAAAGAGCGTGAGCAGACCACGGGAAGAGGAGGCCATGTTCTGGGTAGCTGGACGGGAAGAAGAGGCCATGTTGCTGAGTGTTTCAGAGACGGGTTGGTTACAGAGTATTACAGAGTTTCTCTCTCAGCAAAGGAAGAGTTTTTTCAGAGGATTTTCAGAAGTTTTTTGTCTGCCTCAGCCTCAGCATCAACCTTGGTTAAATAGCGAGGCAGCCACGCGTATCGCGCGCCACTTGACGCCAGACGACAAACGGGCGCGCCAGCCTAGGCACTCACGTGCCTCGCCATCATGTCCGGCACATCTTTTTATGACTTGGGCTCGCCTTTTGATGGCACGCCTTTTTATGGATTGGGCACGCCTTTTGATGACACGTCTTTTGAAAGATTGGGCACACCTTTTGAGGGTGCGACTTTTTAAGGGTCCGACAAGACTCTGTAAACTGTCCCGACATTGATTCCACACCACTACCACCTCACCTACTCCACTAAACCTATCACCTACTTCACCCACTTAAACCTACTCCACTAAGCCTAACCCACTACACCACTACCACCTCCACTTCACCTACTCCTTACCTACTACACACTCACCCTCTAACCCACTACACCACTACCACCTCCACTTCACCTACTCCTTACCTACTACACACTCACCCTCTAACCCACTACACCACTACCACCTCCACTTCACCTACTCCTTACCTACTACACACTCACCCTCTAACCCACTACACCACTACCACCTCCACTTCACCTACTCCTTACCTACTACACACTCACCCTCTTCTATATATAGGAATCATGAATCATTGTAATAAATAGATCAACAAATCAATCAATAAGACATACAATTTATTCTCTATCTATCAATTTATTTCTTACATTTTTAATATCAAAATGAGTACATATTTTATTATTTTATAATTTAATATATATCATACAAAATTATTATATGATGGTTATACTTTTATAATACGATAGAATTAAAATTACTAAAATACACAAATAATTTAAGAAAAATTAATATATATATATATATATAAGTATTTAAATAACAATTTTATAAAACGATAACGCTAATATTATCAAAATAAATAATTAAAATTACAATTTAATTTTAATTTTAATTTTAATTTTAAACTAAAATTAATTTTGATGACAGATTAAGATGACTGAAGGCAAACACAAAGTAGAAGAGAGACAGATTAAGCAGAATTAACAAGACAGTAAGCAACAGATAGCAACATAACTTGGCTCTGATACTAAAAGGAGGCAGAAGCAGAGAAGAAAAAGATACACCAAACAGAATGATAAATCAAATAGAATAAAATGCACACAAAATATTTTAATAAAACTTAAAACTTGAATAAATAACTTACAATTGATTAATAGATGATTGCTTCAAAATACATAATCAGAAAATAGGTTTGACTTTCAAAGACAAATGGGTTCTCACTCAAAGTTTCGAACTTCTTTTTCTCCTTTTTTAACCTCTGAGTACAAATGACTAAGTTACTACAATATATAGGAAGATTAATTGAACTATGCAGCATGTGACTTGGAGTTGATCATGAGAGCAGCTGGCAGCACAAGGACTAAAGCAGGATGTCTAAAGCTTTCGGTTGATTGACTGAAAGTTGAAGTAGCTTTT